CATCAAGCTAAAATACATAAAATCATCGTAGAAAGTTTATTTTCGAATTTAACTAAATCTTTATATATGTCTTATACACATAAATTTTCATTTTATATTCATTCAATAAATCATTTCAATGAAAAAGAATTTTGTCCGGAAAAAAAAACAGAAATTCTCCTTGCTATTGATATTTTCTAACATTCATATCAAAATAATATCATTTCAACTTGATTTTGTCAATATTCTTCATGAAATATTTGGATAAATTGTACTTTATATATGACTTCATTGGAAAATAAGCAATCATAATTCAGCCTACTGTTGTTCGTGAAATAAAGCAGATAAACTGAACACTCGATATTGGCACGTTTTCATGAACATCATGCATTTCATCGATTTTTCTAATATAGTCTGTGTTTGATGTTTATATGTCAAATTCTACTTGCATTTTTTCTTTCATTATGATTGATGATATTAATAAAACTATTTCTATTCTAATATTTATAAATATAGACATTTATTTGAAAATTATATAGAATTAAAACTTCAAAGAATATACTAAAATAATATTATTCTAAAAAAAAAACAAAAGTATATATATAAATCGTTTGAACTGATTAAGATATATTTATGTAAACTCTTTCTTCGATGACTTTTAAGATACTCGATATATATTCATTGAATATAATTCATATTATTTTTAGGTGGCATTTTGCATTAATAAGTATCAGTGGTCTTTTTTCTGTAACATTCAGTATTGTCTATACATATGTTGCCGATGTTACTGATGAAAATTCTCGAAGTACTGCTTATGGTATAAAAAATTTGAAATGTTTATTTTTATTTTTATTATTATTATTAAAATTTGGTTCTAGGTTTAGTAACAGCAACATTTGCAGCATCATTAATAACAAGTCCAGCTATTGGTGCATATTTAGCAAGACTTTATAGTGAAAATGTTATTATTGCACTTAGTTTGTTTTATTTTAATTTTTTCTATATATATATATTTATAATTAAAGATATTTATTAGGTACATTAGTTGCTATATTAGATTTATTATTTATTTATTTTTGTGTACCTGAATCATTACCAGAACGATTACGAACGAATCAAAAACTATCATGGAATAAAATCGATCCATTTGGTGTATGTTTTCTTTTTTTTTTTAATTATTTGATTTTTATTTAGAAAATTTAAATATATATATAATTAGGCTCTTCGAAATATTACTCATGATCGTTTTATTTATCTTATTTGTCTTATTGTACTTTTATCGTATCTTCCTGGTAAAAAATTTTATCAAAAAAAAAAAAAAGAAATTCATTGTTATAGTTTTATTTTTTATTTTATAGAAGCTGGACAGTATTCATGTTTTTTTGTTTATTTACGATTAGTAGGTATTTATTTTTATGAATATTTCCATTGAATATATGTGTATGTTTTTTTTTTATATAGATGCTCGGCTTTTCCGAAGATGAAGTAGCTTATTTCATTGCATTCATTGGAGTTCTTTCATGTATTGCACAGGTAAATAATGATCATTGGTTTTTTTTATTTATCTAACGGATGGATTGAAAGTGTTTCCGAAAAGTCAAAAGTGTGATGAGTTATGAACAGAATTTTGTTCTATTTTCGAATGTTGGCTAAGAAATTTGATGAGATAATGCTTTAAAAGGCTAGAAAAAAATAGTTTGAATAGAAAGTTTTTCTATATGCTTTTGTATTTTCATTTCAACAATTCGAAAGTAAATGTCGACACCTTTATTATTATATTAACTTGTAAAGCAGAAGCTATTCTATAAAATATACTATTGAAGTTTTTCTACAGGTAAATTTCAATTTTCGTTTCTCTGAAATTTTCATTTTTTGAAAAAAATCGACTTCTTGACCAAAAGGCGTTTTTTTGTATAGAAAGGAGTTCTTGACAAAGCATCTATAGTTTTACGTAGGTAAAAGTTACGGGTCAGTTCAGTAAAAGAAATTTTGCAAAGAAGTGTCCATTTGACAGAATAATTGACTTTAGTATTTTTTGGCACCTTCGAAAAGACATTTATTGAGGTTAACAAATAACCTATTGATTCCCCATTCGATCTAAGTTTTTTGAGTTTTTAAAAAAGTTTTTTACTATTGTCGAACAAAAAAACTGAGATAAAATTTCTAAGCTTATATTCGAAAAGTGCACAATATACTGATTCTAATCTATAGCTTTTGACTCTTCAGAAACACTTTCAAGAGAACTAAAAATATGAACAAAAAATACTTTGTTTCAAACCTTTCTACCCATCCATTATTGATATAGGCGGCAGAGCTACAAGACTTGGATAGACTGAAGTCTACCATAAATTCAGACATCTTAAACTAGGATAAACTCAAACATTTTTTTTTTTGCATTCCATCAAATTGAAAAGTTTATGCAGTACATCGAAGCTGTTATACGAACAAGAAAATTTTTTATTGTCTTCGGCAGTCAATAGTAATATTTTCTTAATGAAGTAGATTTAGAAAAAATGTTCTTAAGGAAACATCCAATTTTGTATGATTAAGTATTAAGTCTTATATTGTCAATGACTTAAAGTAGTGCTTCTTTGTAACAAGTGAAGAAGAATCGTACCGGAAATTCGAGTGAGATAAAACTAAAAAATTCGAAAAACTTTCTTCACTTTCAATGGTTAAACTTACGTGTCTAAGAAATATTTTCAACAAAGCGAGCAAATTCACAAGTTGAAATTAAATAAAAAAAAAACATCTCACCATATTTCTTCCAGTGCACGTCTGTTGATATAGGTCGCGAATTTTTTCTGAATCGTTACAGCTTTGTACACAATCCAAAATGTAAGTTAGAAATAAGAAGCACTAATAGTATTTCATCTGAACGATATAAAAAGATTTCCCTTTCTTAACCTTTTACTCCCCATTGATCACTGAAGTGATCATTTTCTAGAATAATTGTAGAAGGTAAAGGAAACATACGATTTGAAAATGATAAGAATATTTTTATTTGTAGTAAATTTCATGAGCTATTAACCGATAACACGAATATTTTGTTTTTTTTTCCTCATTCCGACTTTGAAATATTGAATCTGAAAAATTGATAATTTTGAAAAAATGAGAAAATTCGAATTTTTTGAAACGAAATGTTCTCTACCTACAATCGATAGAGATCTTTTAGAATTTCTATATGTTATAAATCGATGAAAAAGTTCACTAGTGAGTTAAATATATTACGAAAAACTTTACAATAATTTGCCGAATTATATACACTAAGGCATACAATTAAAAACGTTGAAACAGTATTTATCGTAAACTAAATGTCATCCGAGGTTATAGAATGGCTTAGAGCAATCTAGATATTTATTTAGCAAGATGTGTCAAAAACACATGTATTCATTTGATATTAACTTTTGTCGATTTACGCTTTCCTTTTCCTTCTATTAGCATAATAACATGGAATTATTTATGTTGCTTTTACCCACTCAATGATGTGGTCAAAGAAAAAAAGAAAAATCAAAGCTTAGTATGTCGTTCAATATTCTTTTTCACTATGCGGTCATTGAACCAATCAAATGACCTTGTATAAAGATATGCATACTCAGTGGATCAGATCATATTATTAGCATCTTAGAGAGGTTAATACCTTATTTATAAAGTTATTTTATCAGTTGTTCTTCGGAAACGGTTGTGAAGAGTAAAGAATTAATTTCCCGGTGGAGATCAAATAAACATTATTGAGTCTACAGCCCCCTCCCCCCTTCCTCCGCGCTTTCTAGATTCAAAACATTCCATCGTCCATGTCTATCGATTAATTTTTATTAATTTAGACTCTTATATTGGCATGTTTACAAAGATATTTTGGTGCAAAAGAAACTATTATGGTTGGATTATTTTTTCAAATAGTTCAATTAGCAGCATTTGGAATTGCTACTTCAAATTCGTAAGTTAAAAAAAATTTATTTTTTTGAAATAAATAATTTCTTTTATTAATTGAAGAATAATGTGGTTTGCTGGTGGTTTAGCTGCTTTATCATCAGTAACATATCCATCAATTAGTGCATT